ACATTTTGAAACATGTTCTTGAACACTTCCTGACAGTATGTTACTCCTCACAGACAAGTACACGATAGCAGGAATGTCACAAATTTCTGAAGGCAATTCTCCAGTAAGACTGTTAAAAGACAAATCTATCCCTTCAAGATTCATACAATTACTGATGGAAATAGGAATTGACCCTGAAAGATTGTTATGCGCCAAAGAAACGAACTTTGTCTGGTGACAATTCTTGAAAAGTGCTGAAGGAATCTCCCCAGTGTACCCATTTCTTGATAAATCAAGAAACCTTATGTTAGGCAAATCCCCAAGAATTTCCGGGATTGACCCGGATAATGCATTGGAGCTCACGTTAATCTTCCACAATGTACCAATTTCTCCATACTCCAATGGGATGTTCCCAGTGAATTTATTGCCAAATAAAGAAATAATCCTCAAAGATTTCAACCCAGATAAAGCAGGAGACAAAACCCCACCTAGACTAGTATTCCACAACACGATCTTTGCCACATTTCCATTTGAATTACAAAATACCCCTTTAAAATCTTGGCAAGGGCTTCTATTTGGATCCCAAGAACTCAAAATATCATAAGGGTCACTTGAAATATTACCTTTAAATTGAAGCAAGATCTCCCTTTCAGTAATTGGAGAGACTACAGATTCCATATGCTCGAACAAACAGAATGCATAAACGAACACAAGGAAATAAGAATTTGTACCTAATAAAGTCATTTTTCCAACATAATCTCAGCATTATACTTTCTGGATCCAGTTCTGCAACCCCTTGATCTCTGCTTCTGCAAACACAGTAGTTCTTCTCATTGAAAAAAGGGGCTTCTTGTTAATTGGAAGTATTTCGAATGCACAATCTTGCTGAAAACACCAAGAAATTGAAGCACATTTTTGGGCATGGCTAAAAATTGTGGTTTTATTCTAATTTCTTGAGATCTAATTCTGGGCAATTTGTATATGGGTGAGTGTCAAAAAGGACTAAATTTTATGTTTCTGGAGTTTCGAGAAAACTGAAGATTGCGAATAGAGAGAGAGAGAGATGCTGATGGGCTGGCTGGCATGAGAGATTGTTTAAGAAAATTATTTAAAACAAAAAATGCCTGGCTAGACGGAAAGAGAACGGTGGATGCCAAATGCCAGTTTAATAAAAATAAGCTGCTTATTTTATGCTCATAAGTACTTACGACAAAGACACCACATGGGATTAGTGCATTTCTGGCCTTTTCTTTGTCACAGGCATAAACACAGTACACAGCTAAATGGCATTATAGTAATGACTTGAATTAATAATTGTAATAAGATAACAAACAAGGGAAGAACCCATTCTGCCTGTTTGCTGAGATATCGTCCATTACTCTCTCTACTGTAGGGTCTTTTCTGCACAGAAAAGAAGCATTTATTCTCTCCAACAACCAAGGTACCACCACCACCTCCTCCACCATTCAGTCGATCGAGAGAGAGAGAGAGAGAGAGCTGTAGAGAGAGAGAAGAATTGAATGAGTTTCCACCCCTTTTTCATTTTGAGAAAATTGTAGTTTGATCCTCAACCTATGACTTTGTCACATCTTTCCCCCAACGTTTGTTTCGTTTCAGCCTGGTCCCAAACTCACTTTTAAGTGCATCATTATTTCTGACCCTGGTTTTCAGTCAAAATGGACATTAGCACGGGTCACAGACATCAAATTCATCTTGACGCTAACATTTGTAATCACTGGGGACGATGGGAGAGAATTTGGTAGACATTGTGCTAAAGATTAACGTATAAAAAATAGCATTGAGTAGAAAGTCTTAGAATTCATTTTATCAAAGTCACTTTGTAGGGAGATTACATAATGAGTTAGGAAGCATCCCACCATGCTTGAAGTCAATCCGACTTTGTTTACTAAGGTGTTAACATAAGGTGAGAAAGGAGCAGTGTCATGCAATGGTAGTAATGTAACTTTTGTATATTTCGAGAGCAATAACACAATATTCGAGTTTTCATTAGGGCTAAAATTTTAAGATTTTCACATTGAGATCAAAAACTTTGCTACAAATCAAAAGGAATATCATTTGAAGGTCGATTGTGAAAGTTATGAAAATTATGATTACTCAGCAAAGGAAATCTAACCAACCACGTCACTTGGGTAAGAGTTGTTGTCTGGCGAGCAACTAGACAAATACTTCACGCACTTTTATCCACACGGAGGGACAACCTATGGGCTATCCTTATGCACAAAATGTGCAATCCTTGGGAACTATGGGGCACATAAGGACCTATTTTGGCACAGTATGGGGATGGCTAAATTACCAATATAGGGTTGAGAGTCCATTGGGTTGCACTAATTCAAATGAGCTTATATAAAGGAAAGCATTCCAAATGCCTCTTATGCTAACTCGTGTGCATCGGCTATGGGCTCTAGCCTTTCCATGGAGTTCATGGACTAAAATTACAGTCATAGGACAACGTCGCATAATTGAGCAAATGAGGCAAGGTACCGATGTTGCGGTATTGAATATGATATGATGGAACTTCGAGTAAGACATGGAATAAACGGAATGCCTACTTGGATAAGATTTAAAAAAAAAAAAATGCAACGTGCAATGAGCTAAAATATCCGAGTGACAAGCATGTGGATTCCATTGTGGGGGCAGAATGACCTCAATGCCTGAGATGGAGCAGGAGCTTCCGATTTAAAATTTTATAGTTGATCTTGGATACAATTTTGGATCCACCCCTGATCGTTGTTGTGTAGGAACAATGCAGCTCAAGACAACTTAGACATATTTGAGTCCTAGAAGAGTTTCCTAACATGTGCAATATGTCGATAGCCATGTTAACCATCCTAATCAATTTTGAATTATTTCATATAGAACAGTTAAGGAGCTCGTTACAACAAAAAGATTTTGAGGACAAAATTGCAAGTGTACAAGTTGGAGACCAGCAGTGCATATTTTACGTTTCTTTTTCTCAAGTTTTTGGTCAGTCCAATCCAGTGTGAATGACAATGACTTGGAGAGGACGTCGGTTGTTTTTCTTTGACTTGTGCATTTGTTTGAGCTCTATTTTTAGGTCATGCATTTAATAAAAATAAATAAAAATAAAATAGTAGAACCCCAATCTTGAGGGTCCCCACCGCACCGTCCCTATAGCTTCGTGAGGGAGGTAAATCACGAGATATGCCCTCAACAGGTCAGAGAATAAGGGTTGCATATACACTACGTCTACAAGGAGTCTAATTTCATATGTCAGGAATTAAACTCCCACACTACGGTTGCCAACAAAGAATGAGATAACATTACTCCTGTCCTTTGCACCACTGGGCTATGCCGCGGGGGCATTTTATTTTTTTTAATAGTATTTGTTGTAGAAGGTGTGATCGAAAAATCATAAAATTTTTGAATTTATTAATATTATTTATAGGAGAATGTATCGTTGAAAATGAATCTTGAAAAATGAGTGTCTTAAAAAATAGGGACCACGTAACAAAGGTCCACTTGGTTATTTTGTTCATTTAATTATTTAAAATAAATTCAAACTGATTAAAAAAGGATAAATAACAGAGGACTTGTTCTTTGCTGCTAAATGACACAATTGATTTGACTTTCTTTGAATAAATGTGTATATTTGATATATAAATATTAAATTATAATCCATACAATCAGAACCAAAAATGATCCGATGATAAGCCAACTTGTCCCTACATTCGAGTTATGATGACAAACAGGTCGAGCTCATTTCGACTTGATTCATGATAGTTTGGACTCATGTTAAGTCAAATCATGAATAGAATCGAACTTATATTTTTTGATAACCAAGTGGGTTCGCTCGTGAAGCCTAGAAATCAGCTCATGAATGGCTCAACTCAACCCGTTGTCACTTTTAATTCAAGTCCAAAAAGCCCATGAAAATATGTTAATACCGACTCCAAACGTCATGATTGACATGGTTTAAGTAGGGATCTATATGCTCATGTCAGTACAAAATGGGACTATAGGTGTAATTTTTTCGAATTAACTAATTGCTCTTCATTTAATTTGCAATGTGGACAAAAGAAAAAGGAAGTTTACTTTAGTTTCTTCTTTAGTACTATTTTACTTGTTTCCACTTCAATGTGTTCCTGTTATAGGTGTGGACAGAAGAATCAAACAACAAAAGCAACAAGGAATAGTAATGATTCACGAATTGTCCATCTGTTATTCTTTGTATCATAACCGGGACGAGATGGACATGTATCATCATCCGTCAAAATTGTCTTAAGTATCATAATGAGGACAAGATGGACACAAATCAACTCGTGTGTCAAAATTGTCGCAAAATATTGTGAGATTTTTCATTTCAAAAAGAGCGATTTTGATACATTCATGTTTATAAAAGTCGATTCTATTAAGCTGTTGACGCAAATTTTTTCCCCTTCCTTTTTAAACTCTAGTTTTATTTGCTAGATTTAGAGAGGACAGACTATTCATTATCGTTTTGAGAGAGTCTTTCAATACTATCTACATATTAGTCAACTTTGCCATTTCATCTTATTTTTTTTTGGATTTTGATACTTCTTACTTCACAATTCACAAGTATGACCCTTTTACCATATTTGTAATCAATTTCACTACAAATAAAGGTTTAACACGCATGTCACTTACAAATTTTCATCCGGGAAAATGCACTCAACAAATTTTTCTATACTTTGATTTTGAAACCATTAATCTTGTGGTATTAAAACGATTCTATATCCAGCATACGTTCGATTACAAAAGTACATTAAAGTAAATACTAATCACTTTAAAAAATGCTAGTTGGTTGAAGAGAAAGTGTAACAACACATTTATTTTGAAATTGGAACGTTTGACTGACACTCAACGGCATCTTGGTCTGCTAAGAATCAAGATTAATAAATATATCACTCCAAAATGTAAACTGTCACTTGTGCTATAGCACTACATTTTTTTGCAATAAAAAATATCTATATCCAGCATACGTTCGATTACAAAAGTACATTAAAGTAAATACTAATCACTTTAAAAAATGCTAGTTGGTTGAAGAGAAAGTGTAACAACACATTTATTTTGAAATTGGAACGTTTGACTGACACTCAACGGCATCTTGGTCTGCTAAGAATCAAGATTAATAAATATATCACTCCAAAATGTAAACTGTCACTTGTGCTATAGCACTACATTTTTTTGCAATAAAAAATAGCTTTTGATCCGTTATCTCAATCGTGATTTTCCTACCTACCACACGGAAAAGGTACTTCACCTTGGATCTGGTTGTGAATGAGGAAGGGCTCAAACCCCAACACCATGATTTGTAGTCATGTGCTCTAATCGTCTAACCGACAGTTCCTCACCTACCTCATTTCGTTCTCAAGAGTACATCAAGAAGAAGAAATTAACCAAAGAAGAGAGCCCGACTTACCGTGCTGGGCAATATCAAACCAAGAAAATAAGTAATGCGCATTTTACCTAAAATTTTGATGCAGAGCATGAATGAAATGGAGTAGGTCCGATAGACTGGGCTTGACATGATTCCCAAGCTTGATTCTGGATCACATACGGTAGATTACAATGGTGTCACGAACTATAACTTTACATCAAATCTGCCAACCGAGACAATAATCACAAAAAAACTTTAAGTCAGACTTTATCTCTGCCTTTTTATGGATTAAAGCGAATAGATGGGGACAAAGAGTCTTCTGTGCTATCCCTGTCAAAGTAAATGATGAAGTCAAAGACATTTTTTGGACCATAATGTGGAAGAAAAGAAAGAAGAAAGGAGCTCAACAAAAGCATGTCTCACTTTACGACACTTACAATCGATTTCAACTTCATCTGCAGTCCAAAATCTCCAGCAATAATGTTGGGATTTTTGTCTCGACTCCCTTCCCTTTCCATGCAGCTACACATCGACAAACCTCAGCCGAACGAAAGATCAGTAAATATAAAATCATCAGATGGTCCACACGACTAAACAAGAGATCACCGCATTGGTAAGTCTTCAGTCTGCAGTTTGTTCACCGCATTGAAAGCAATCTGTGAAGCTGATAGGCCATTTTGATTGTGTGAAACGTCAGCCAAAGTTCTCATCAAGACGCTACGACAGTGAAACAAACGCCCCATGAAGAGTAAGGAATTTTATTTCATACGAACAAAAATAATGAAGGCACGAGCATAACAATGATCACATTAAAGAAACTCAAGTGGACAATTAGCTATTGCTCCAAACAGAATTCCAAGAAATCTCAAGGAAAATTTCTGCTCAGGGATAAAATATCACATCGAATGAAGATGAAAAACATGGATTTTATCCCTTAACAAATTCAAACAAGCCGATCCTGATTATGCTTCCAATTTAAGTGGGTCTGCACCACCACCACCCCGGCATGGGCATACAAATAATACAGGTACATGCACACACGATTAATGAACTAGAATACGAGCCAACAGAAAACTAATTAATGATCTTAAAGATTATCACAACTGGTGTGGAAACTCATACAAAGATCACATATACAAAAAAATAAATAAAAAAATAAAGAAAGAAGTACCGTCTAATTTTAGTGTTTCATAAAAACCAGTGATTCAACTAAAATGTATTTACTTTTTTTTTTCCTGCAAGTTACTGTAGACAAATTTACATGGTTACATGTATATCAATTGAATTGCGTGTTCAATACCTCCCGTCATTTGTAGGCTAAATTTATCCTTTTATTTCATTTTAATGGGTGACGGCGAGATTCATTTTAATGGGTGACGGCGAGACTTGAATTCTGGACTTTTTTCTACTTTAATACCATGTTGAACTACTTGATCGAAATCACATGTATATCATTTTAATAGTGTCTTCAACAACCATGAAACGATATCTAGGCTTCTCACCAGACTCGTAATCATGGACATTACATATATGTCAGCAATGCCATCCACATAACAGAAGATGACAAGGACATCGGTAAACTATACCAGCTAAGTAGAATAGGTAAGAACAACCAACCTTTTCTAGTATTTTGTAATACTTTTGCTCATCAAACATTACAACAAAACTGTAAAATCCTGTCATTTTTTGGATGCATAAGCTGACACCCATGTATATATAAAATAAACATTCAAAATATGAAAGAGGATAAGAGAATTGAAAAGAAGTAATTCCATTATAAATTTGCAGATAAGGAGTGCGTATAAAAGAGTGGGCAAGATTTAAACTACAAACCAATATAAAATCAAAGAGCAATTTTCTAAGCCCCCAAATCTAAAAAGGAAAGAAAAATTAAATTGATACAAATCATTGACCCCTTCGATTTACCAGAAATACTCTACAATACATAAAATAAAAACGAACACTTCAGTATCTATGCATGCAGAAACCAATAATAGTTAAAATTACATATTAATGAATGTAATTAAAAAAAATAAAAAATAAAAATAAAAATTGAAAAGCAAACATCCTTCACTATTCTAGACAACAAATTACCTTATCCATGAAAAAAGGGTTCGACCCGTTTGAACAAAACAGCAGCCAAGACCCCTACGATCGCCACCATCCTCCGCTACCACCGCCACAACAACCGGATGACGCTGAAAACGCCGCCTTACCATCAACACCGTCTTGTAATTTCACGTAATCTCCCGCTCTGCCATCATCATCAGTAGCGTGATATGTCATCGCCACTTAATCAAAACTCACTTGTTTATTAAAATTAAATTTCTGCCAGATTGTGCAATTATTTGCCAAGGAGAGAATCAAGAACTCCCTTGGGATTAAGGGATTTCAGCAGTTAATTCATTTTTTTTTCCCAATTAAATTCTGCGGAGAAGCTAAAATATAGAGATATATGGGAAGATTATATGTATGTATATATTTGTGTCAATATCAAATCCCAAGCTGAAATGCCTAGTTAGACACATTGAAAACAACATCGTATGGTTGCCGTTAGAAAAATAAGTTTCACGACAAATTTCATTTGTGGGAGCTAAGTCGCTCTAATGTATTTAGAAAGGAAAAATATACTTCAATTTTTATTTTAGTACGATAATTATTTAAATTATATTCAATTGACGAAGATCAATAACTTCGTCTTTAATTGTTGATATGTAAAATAGTTGAATTTCAATTATATAAAATGACCCAAATCATTGGTTGTCGAGTATCTTATTAGTTATCCTTAGTCAAAATAATAGAATTGACAATTCTACTTGATTAAAATCATATTAAAGTATAATTATTTGAATGAATATGATTAAAGCAATTCACACTGACGACACGTTGAATTTACCTATGGATTTGAGGTGAGCTTGACAAATGGCTGATTACTAATTTTACTTCTATTTCGAGCATCTTCAATATGCTTTTTAATAGTGAAATTCTCCTTATTTTAAGAGTTCAATAAATATTATGGAAAACATACATTAATTTACAGGATTTATCATACATAATTGTATGTGCCATAGATATTATTCTTAATATCTACTGTCTATGTGTTGATCTTATCGGTTTCTAAATTTATTGTGAGTATTCATACACTACAACAAATAACTTACTATCTAATTAGTGATTAATCAATCAAATAGTTCAATGGAAATGCAAAATCAATCAAGAAAAATCAAGAAATACTAAACTAATTGTTTTGAAATTAAAATAAATAAACAATATGGTTCATCATTCATCCAATACAATGTCTTTTAGCCTAGTCTATTAATGTAAAAAATACAAGATAGATAAAAGAAAGTTATCACCCGAATCATTAGAACTATGAAGAAAATTTGGAAATTTTAAATTAATACCTTCAAATGATAAATTCTTCGTTCTTCAATGTACATTCTTTCTGTTTCTCTCAAAAGTCGGCTTACAATATGATCCCTTTAGATCTGGATGTGTTCTCATATTTATATGATACTAAGGAGATTACTTACCAAAATAAAATAAGGAAACCTAGATTTTTTTTTGCCGTTTAACATAGAGGTGGGCACCTAGCGTAATATATGGAGCATGCCTGGAGGTCTTGGGGTGCCTCAGTCACCTCATTTTTGGTTGGGGCGCGTGGCTCTCTTGCAGGCTAGGGCGCGCCCCTCGTCTAATTTTTGACAATCAAACAACTTTAAATAGTTGTTATAACTTTTTCTCCCGATATCTGATTAAAGTGATTCAAAGTATGTTGAAAAACTCACTCAGAAGGCTACAATTCTTTTATAGATATTATTTTTCCAATTTTAATGTTTACTATGCCAAAATTGGATCTCAATATAAGGCTGAAAATCAAAGTATAACATTTTCTGTTAAAAAGTTGATTTGTGATAATATTTTGACTAGATCACTTTGACTTCTTTCCTCATCCAATTGACCTCAGCACTCTCAAATCTTCATCATGAGGTCCGAAACAACTTTTTAGTACTTGTATTTTAGTCCTCGAACTTTAGATTTGCTTCGTTTTAGCTATTTTTCGTTCTTTCTTTCCAATGTTTCGTCGAAACATGAGTTTTTTCTAATAAAAGCAATAAATGGAAAATTAGGTACTAATCCAAGAATAACAAAATCGACATTTAAAATCCCATAATTGTAGAAACTGTTACGCCTCATTTTGCGAGCCTCGGTACGCCTCGTTTTGAGAGTCTCGGTACAGACTTACCGAAGTATCATCCCCTCGTTTTGAGAGCCTCGGTACAGACTTACCGAAGTATCATCCCCTCGTTTTGCGAGCCTCGGTACAGACGCACCGAAGTACCACTCCGAAGTCGGCGAAAATCGACTAGACCACTCCGAACTCCCGAAGCCTCCCCCCCGAAGTGATACACCGATTCCTGTCACTAACGTCCCGTCTTCGAGGACGGGTTCAAGTGGCTCGAACCCCCGTTAGAAGATTCGCTGCCAATTTAAGATTCGCTCTGCATATAGGGTTTAAATTGATGTGACGTCCCCCATAAAGCTGTTTGATGTGACTTATCAACTTTATGTCAATTCAACTCGGGGGAAACAAACTGTCCGCCCACCCTACAAGCGCGGCTGATTGACGTCTATGAGCAGACACTTCATACCGTCAGATGTATACACGTGTTCCACATCCCACGGCTCATACCATCTATAAATACCCAAAGACTGGCCAGAGCCAAAGGTAATGAAACTCTCAATAGATAGCACTCCATAATAAGTTTATATATTCTCCTCCCCCTTTTATTGATAGATTGATTTGTGTAGTTCCTGGACACTGTTCCGACCACCCGAATCTGACTTGACCGTCGGAGTGTATACGGCCGTCACCACCGCTGGTTCCGGCCGTGTGTGCCTGACAGTTTGTTAATTTCGTAGGGAGGAATACGTGGAGTGGCTGCAAGTTACCCACGTGGAAGAGCCATTTTTACGGGTCAACAGAAACTTATCACTTATTCCAAATTCCAAGCAAGAAAAATCCTCTCTCACTCACTTCAGAAATGGGAATTCTAGCCTCGATTTCTCCTCCAAAATCAATCTTTCTTCATAAATCCAAACAAACCAACCTCTCATCCTCCAAATCCGACGCATTTGCACCCAAAGAAACAATTGCAAGACCCATAAAATTTTCCATCCCGCAATGCTCTCTCTTTACCAAACTGGGCTATTCATGTTTCTAGTGTTGTTGAATGGTATGATGCTATACATATGTGAATTTTTTATATATAATATCTGATTGTAGTACCATGGTCCCAATCTCACACTGCCAAACGTGTACCCTAAATGTCTATTAATGGGCTTGCTATGTTGTTAAAAAATGGATTTTGATTAGTTTATTTTTATCGAAGGATTACTGCAACGGCTTTGGTTTAGCAGTATGGGGAGAACTCTGGTTTGAATCTTGGAAGTGTCTCTCTTGGGGCATGGTGAGAGATGCTTCTCTTTCTCTTAAAATTGTTGAGGGTTTTGAAGCTATGGTGGTGGAGATTGTATTTTGCGCTTGTTGAACACAAGGGAAAATTGCAGTTCTTGATCTTTAGGCCTTCAATTCCGTTAGAAGCATTGCATATATAATTCTAAACTAGTTGGTTTCAAGGTGAATGATAATGAATATGCTTAATGAAAATATCTATGGTAATATGATTATTCCATATTTTGTTGACAAGAAAGTAAACTAATAGAAAGCATTGCAGAGTTCATTTTACATATTCTTGGCCTGAACTTCCCCCTTGAATTTGGAAATCGCTATTGCTTTGGTTGTTGCAAATATAAGTCCATAAATTCATCAAACCAGAGTTTTGATCATTTTCTCGTAAGAATCCCTAGCAACTGCAACATTACACTCCTATCTTGGTTCTTTCAGCCTTTTTTAATCCCTGTTTGGTATAGATTAAAATCTTATCACAATTTCAAATCAAAGTCAATTATTAAATTTAATCAAACATTTCATTGGACCCCCAACCTCTAGCGATATATTTCATCAACTTTTATTAAAAATCTACTAAAAAATTGATTTTAATCTACACCAAGTATGGTTAAGTAATCTCCTGGGTAATGACGGCAAAGCTGTATATTTAGTTATTGTTTTGCAAGCTATATCCAGTTGAATGTTATTAACCTTTATAAAAAATAAAATCTAGATATTTTTGCTTCACACATTTGCATATTTACTTGTGATTCAGCGTGGTAGGTAAATATGTGAAATCTTTTCTCTCATGTATTAGAATTTAAAAAGCTGCCTACTTGTTTAGGTTCCCTAGTTAGAAGGAGCATTTTGCGCTTGTACATAGCATTTCTTTTACAATTCAGAGGCCCTTGAGGTAAGAAGATGCAATTTTTAGTAGTTAGGCTACCGTCGGGCAACCAATTTATAAACCATTTATAAATTGAGTCAAAAATAAAATTAATTTCAATTACATATTCATAACTACCACTTATTTATTATCTACACTTTTTGTGGAATTCACCACTATTCTTGTTTGTAAATGATTTTTAAATTTGCCAAATAGACAGTAAAAAATTAAGTTTGAACACTGTGCTTGCTATTGGGTGTTTTTTCTAGATTAGGGTATGTGTCATTCAACTTTATGGTTCTTGTTAGGTCTGAAAAATTGTAATTGGCAATTCTGTAAGACAAAACGGACTTAATTGTAAAAGTCAAGGACTCAATTGAACAATATTGTAAAAGTCAGAGACTTAGGGTGCAATTTCGTAAAGTTGGTTGGTAGGGACTAGGGTTTGAGTCTAAGGATCGAATAAAGAATGCAGCGCCAGAAGTTCGCTAGCTTCTCGCCCTACCATCGCTCGAGTGTAAAAAGCAAAAAGCTCGTCGCTCGCTTTTCACCCCAGTCTCTCTCGCTCGAGCGAAAATCTATCGCTCGCCTTTCGTTGACTTGTCGCTCGAGCGACAATGTTATTCAAAAATCCTATTTCACATTTTTTGAGATTTTTACACGGCCCAAGACACATAGTGACCGCAAGTATAAATAACACAAGTCTGGGATGTGAGAGATAGATTGCCACTTTGTGTCTTCATAGCAAAAACATAATCACATCACTCTTGAGAGATCTAAGGTGAATTAACTGGAGAATCCATAATTCTTATGATCTTGGCGATCAATAGCTGGGGAAAACATCATCCTTCCTAAAGACAAAAAACCTGGTTCCTTAATCTATTAAAGAATGGACTCTCTCATTGGGGGATTGAGAGAAGTGGACGACAAGTGCAGTGAATTGGATAAGAACAGGCGATTATTGAAATTCCACTTGGTGGTACAACCAGTTAAAGACCAGGAGGTTGTAGTGGACAACAGATTGGATTACAGGAGGTAGATCGAGAAGTCTAGTAGGAGGCTAGAAGCATCACAGCAGTAGATCGTGAGACTGGAAAAATAGGTCTGATTGGTTACGAAGTTTGGTAACTTGTTCTTGTTGAATTGGTATAGTGGATATCACTAGCTTGGTCTCGAAATTTTACCTATGTTGGGGTTTCTCCCTCATCATATTGTCAGTTGTTGTGTTTATTGTTTATTTTACATTACGCAAACCGACAGTTCAACCTTAGGAATTAATTGGACTGTATGTTTAACGATCTAGACATTAATTAAAGTGACTTGTTTCTTTGATTAATTAATTCCGCACGTAAGGTCAAACAAATTGTTAACTTGAAACGTAAACTTGGTAACACATAAATTAAATTTGACGTAACAAATCGTTCCTAGGGAATTTTCAAGTGATATCAGAGCCTAAAATCATATCCTGACCCTACATAGTCTAGATGAGTACCTCGTTGAATGTACCTCCAAACTTTGATAATAGTAACTATACGTATTGGAAGGTCAGAATGAGGGCATTTTTGAAATTCATAGATGAGCGTGTCTGGTAGAGCATAGTGAATGGTTGGTCTACCTCTAGTACCACAGTAGATGGCGTAGTCACTCCTGCCCCCTAGAAAACTGGTCTAAATTACAATTAGATAGCTGTAGCTTTAATAGTAAAGCCATACATGCATTGTTTATGACTGTATCCCCCGAAAAATTTAGGAGAGTATCTATGTGTAAGGTAACAATAGATGTTTAGGACATTTTGCAAACCACACATGAGGGAACTCAGGTCGTTAAAAATTCTAAGTTACAGATGCTGGCCAATAGGTTCGAGGAAATTAGGATGAGAGATGATGAGACATTTGATATCTTTTATGCGATCTTAAATGACATAGTGAACTCCTCTTTCAACCTAGGTGAGAAAATTCATGAGCCCAAGATAGTTAGAAAATTTTTTAGATCTTTGCTCAAGCGTTTTAGGCCGAAAGTCACAGCTATATAGGAAAGTAAAGATATAGACACTATCAAGGTAGAGGAGTTAGTCGGATCCCTCCAGACCTATGAGTTAACCTTAAACAATCCTACTAAGAAAAAATCCATAACCTTGAAATTCGCTAGGAATAACCGGATGGAATCTTCTGATTCGGATTTACTCAATGATGAGGAGATGGCTACCCGAGTGAATCCAGGAGAAAATCAAAATCTGTGAGATACCATAACTGTCGAGGTTTCGGTCACGTGAGGAGTAAGTGCCCTAGTGCTAGGAGAGTTGAAGAGAAGGCAATGAATACTACGATCACTGATGACAAGCCTAGCTCAGACAATCAGAGTGAGAAATCCGCACATGAGGAGAGTGGAAAATATGTGGCCTTCGTTGCTAGGGTTAAAAGTGGATCCGAACAGGGAAGTGAAAGGGATGAGGATCTAGGTGGTAGTGAGAATTTGGTGATGAGAGTGGAAGTGAGAAAGATCTAGAAGAAGCTTATGAAAAGATATATGAAGAAAGTTTCGAGATCATAGCTACTAATCAGGTGCTCAGCAAGATAGTGAAGGAACTTAGGTTAGAGAAGGAATAGTAAGAGGCTCGGGTTAGTGATCTTACCAGTAAGAATGAGTTATCCTCTAGTAGAGTAAGTGAGCTAACCATTGAGAATGAGACATTAGCTATTCAGGTTAAGCACCTTGAGAGTGAGCTAGAGTTGTCTAGGTCTCAGATTCTTACCTTTTCTAGTAGTTCTGAAAAGCTAGAAAATATTCTAGGAATAGGCAAGCCAGCTAGTGATAAGGAAGGTCTAGGTTTTGTTAGTAATGCTGTTAGTACTTCACAGACCACTTTTGTTGTGCTAATGCCAGCCTAACATTGTGACTAACCCCACATCTAATGTTGTGGGATCTTCAGGATGTAGGTCTACCAGATGTCGTAGGACCCGTCAACCTACGAATAGAAATCAGTGTCCATATAACACAGGTCCTAGGTTTATCCTGACATACTTTCAGTGTGGAGTGTTAGGTCACATACACCCTAGATGTCATCACTACTTGAACAATAGGAAATGCTTGAACTTGAAAAAGGACAAAAATCAGGTATATGTTTGTCAGATTAGATTCCTTGCTGATCAAATGAATCATTTGATCCAATTGGTGACACTAGCTGTCTGGAAACAATTCCCGTTTTAGACAGGTTTGGGTGAAGAAGAGTGATCTCCCGAATTTGGCAGTAGTTCGTGGTGCTCTTAAAGGAAAGAGCACTTATATGCCTACTTGATTAGGTATTTTTTTATGCATGCCTAGTTCTTGTTTGACATATGATTGTTGCATGCGTTACGTATATTGTGTTTATCTTTTGTTTTATTTTATTTTATTTCATGCATGTGCATTTTCACTTGCTTGTTTTGGCACATGCACATTGAGTTTTGTCTTTGTGTGATTGAATTTATTTTATTATGTGTGTAGAGCATTTATTTTAGAAAAATGAAAAACACAAAAATATTGAAAATTTGAAAAAGACCAGAGCAGTTGGTTGTGGAAATTGCTACAGCATGACACATGACTTTTGAACTTGCACTTTGTGATCATGTAGGAGCTAAAATTGATAAGCTATAGAATAATTTTCATTTCTTGGTTAGGTCTATTTGGATTAATTGTTATAAGTATCTTCATGTACCATCTGCACTGCACATACTATGAATTTGTTAGTGGGACCCTACCGCGTGTGAGGTTTGGGATGGTTGTCACATGTTAATAGGGTGAATTTGAACATGAATTGACCAATATTAGTAGACCTAAACCCAAAAATATTCTTCCATTTTATAAAAGCTCAATATCTTAATGTTCTTTTTCGGGGCCTATTTAACTGAAACAATTAAGCTTGCGGGATCTCTAAAACCTGGTGTCTATGGTCAACTGACTTGAGTTAATCGGCTTAAAGCTCGCTACAGGGGTCATCTTAGTCTCCTAATGGAGAAAAACCTGTACTTAAGATAAAAAAATTAATGAGCTGGAAAATGAGAAAAATATAAAACCTCATAGTAAGGGAGAGAAAAGTAAAAATAATAAGTATAGATCCTACTGCACATTACGTGGTTTGACTTTCATTAGTAGAATAATATATTTATTGGCAATGATTGGCATGTCGCTTCTCACAAAATTAAGGTTTGGAGTCATGTTTTTATTGGAATAGTGAAACTTTACACACATGAGTTACTTGTACTTTTTACTCCATTATAGTCTAAATTGAGTATGTGGGGAGGTATGCTAATTGTTAATTTTACTTTTGTATGCTATCAACTACTTTGAGTTATTATGTGTTATTTGCTCAGCTTGTTCTTAATATGATTCCCTTTAGCATTTGTGACAAAAAGGAGGAGAGAAAATGTGTAATTGAGGGAGAGAAAAACATGAGCATACACATAGGGGGAAGAGCGACCGCATTTGCATGTGCACTGATTTCACTCCTTGACATTATTGCATTTTGTATTGCTATGTCTAGGAATCGTTGGGGAGAAATATAGATACACTGAATTTACTACATTACATTTATAAGATTTTGCAGTAAGGGAGAGCATTGCAATGCGTTCATAATATATCCATTGCTGTTTGAGTTTTGATGTTTAGTGATAATGCTTTGGTTGGTGTTTTGATTGACATTAATGTCACGTCTCAAACTAGCATGTTGATATGTGGTTAAGTGCTGCCATGTTTATATTTCCTGTATCACGTGATTTTACATTGGGTATATGAATTTGTGGATTTCAGGAAACACGCACAAGAAGGAATGCAAGACTCGGTTATTCGAATTACTGGATAATAAAGTGTATCGAGTCCTAGCTTATTTTTCATATGGTCCTGACTTCATTTATGGTTTTGTCATAGAATGTCAAAGTAGGAGTTTGTTAGGTCCGAAAATTTGTAATTGGCAATTCTGTAAGACAAAACGGTCTTAATTGTAAAATTGTAAAAGACATGGACTCAATTGAACAATGTTGTAAAAGTCAGGGACTTAGGGTGCAATTTTATAAAGTTGGTCAGTAGGAACTGTCTAAGGATCAAATCAAGAATACGACGTCGAAATTTCGCTAGCTACTTGCCCTGCCATCGCTTGAGCGTAAAAAGCAGAGAGCTCATCGCTCGCTTTTCATCCCAATCTCGCTCGAGCGAAAACTCGTCCCTCACTTTTCGCTGACTTGTCGCTCGAGCGACATGTTATCCAGAAAACCCTATTTCACATTTTTCGAGATGTTTACATGACCCAAGAAACATATATAAGACACACATCCAGTGAGTCTCAGGTTGATTACACCCCGAGTCTGAATGCATCATTTTTNTTTTTCCCCCTTTAATATTAGCAAAATAGGAGGTAAATAAAAGACATTAAATTATGATGTATATCAGTTCACTCATAATAAACACCAAATAATGGTCTTTACAAGTGTATCTTAGAATCTAAAATCAAAGACATACTTTGTTCTCATTTTCTGAACTCATCAGCCTACTTAGTCAAAAGTAATGAAGTACGTGGAAAATACATTTTCTGTTTCACTAACATCGCTTGCTTTTGCTCACACGAAACTTCAATGGCTCCTTTCTGAGCAGTAAAAAAATTAAGGAAATAGATAAAATAAAATGCATGATATGTATTACCATTCTCAATAAGCGACACTGCCAATGGGCAGGCATTGAAGGTTGAAGTCACATAAAACTTCAAATAACAGATGCCTTCTAAAGAAAGTAAATAAATATAGGAGATTGAAATTTCTTTAAAAAGTGAACGTACTTAGAAAAAAATAAAGATCAAATCATTATTAGCATCTTATTCTAGGACTAAAATTAATGAAAGGAGTTTGACTTACATAATTTTTTTTATATGCAGTTTAACGCATATTATCCGAGATTCGCTTCTTGGCTTTAGAAGAGCTCAAAAGAAATTCTAAAAAAACTTTCAACTTATCAACCTGTTTATGTTAAAAAGGAAAATTTAGTCATAAAGACCTCGAATCTATCAAGATAATGTGAAAATTCTGAGAGAACATCCCCTACTAATTATGCTACGTCCAGGAAGTTCCTTACCAGTTAGCAGCCTAGATACAACTATATATTTCCTTAAAAAGGGGGAACATAAAACAACTCTGTAGTGAACAAATGGTAAGATTTCCTACCCGAGTTCCAATCTTTGCAGCTCTTTTTGACGAACAAAGTCCATTAAAGGAGTAACTGTAGGAGCATCCTTTAGAGTGCCTAAAAAGAAATCAGGAGATCATTTAAACTAAAAAGAAAATACAACATTTCTCGCCTTCATATTGTACCATTTCAGAAATTCAATCTTGGATTACCCTATGAGTACACATAAGCTAAAACTATCAGCTCACCAGCTCATTCCAACTCCTTCGTCTCCAACTGCGTCTCTACACTGGGAAGATTCTCAACAGGTTTTGCAAAAATTAAAGGAACTCCTAATATTCAAGATCTACATGTATATCAACAAATCAATCGTGATTCCAAACAACAGATGATAGCATGGAAACCACATGCAATCAGCACACAAGGTAAACACCTTTCAATATAGTCCATTCGTACCCATCCTTTTTAGACCACTGCTTCAGAACACACTGCAAAGGAGCATACCGAACAATTGCTTTAATTCGGGTACCTGGAAGGGGCGAATAAGAGGGAAAACCCCTCATTTAGAAAAAAAATTAAATTGAACTTATATTCATCACTATAAAATTATAAAAGTAGGTTTTATCATTCTTGCCAGGATGTGCGCCCTTCCCGTCCCCCAAAGGTAGGTAAAGGGGGAAAAGAGAGTAATTAAGAAGCATTAAAGCTTTGAGGTCATTCGATTAAAATTTATCCCTATTCATCTAAAAGACTTAAACTTTTGGAATCTGCACATCACGAAATCAACCCAACATAGGCAATTTAGTTAAAAAGCAAACAAAGCCAAGATCCTGAATTTTAAAAACCTATCTATATATAACATCAAATATATATAGGAACAAGTGCTTAGAGTAATAAAAAGACCTTGACCCATTTGTTTCACCACTTTGGCCTGCAGATCTCGCAGTGCCCCTGCTTCTTCCTCAATCTCCTGCAATCTCTTTTTCATATCTTCCAACTCCTACAATCTTTGGACATCATTTTTTGGAGTTCACGCCTCGACGAAATTGTTGAGGTTCTCTAGCCAAGTAACGTATTCTTTGCTGTCTTTTTCGATCATGTGCTCATGCAAGAAATTGGTTGTGCTGGGCTTGATTTCTCTTATCTCTAGATATGTGTGAAAAGGCTTCTACAAATTTTCAGCTAAGTCCCTGAAAGATAAAAACACATCATTTGCATATTATTTGAAAGAGAAAAAATAGAGCATTAAGAGACAACTCAAACAGTAGACATAGATGAAGATATTTAGATACTAACATGAAATCAGGCCCTTCATATGCTATTTGATCTTTAGAGCTCTCGGGTCCCTAACAAACAAGCTGTCGATTGCAATCTCATCAGGGTAACGTGTACATCCAAACTCTAAACAGGGTCCATTCCTCTTGGAAACTTTGACAATGAGGTATACTCGATTGAGGATCATTTTCTTCATCGTTATTATCATTGTCATTGTCATCATCGTTCTCCTCACCAGTTACAAGGTCAGGCATGTGAACTTCGAACTGATAGTTCTACCCTGATATTTCTAGTTAGAGTTATGGTTTGTTGTCCTGGAGGATCTTCAATTTTAAAAGAAAAACCCTCAGACACCTTCACAACCTGTAAGACAAATCATTATTACCTAAAAAAGAGTTTGGACACATGATCAACGAAAAATATTGTTACATACACAACTGATATTAGAAAGGCTTCAAGTATAGTGCCTACCAACTTTGCTACAGTTTATACAACCAATTCGGCTACAGTAGTGTCAAAGCTTCTCAACCAAAATAATTAATAACTACATCATTCTTTCTTTTTAGGCAGTGTAAGATTTCAAAATCAGAGAACAACCTTTTCAACTCAAACAACACTTGGAATCGTCACAGAGTACTTAGCAGAGAACCATGTAAGGGATCCTTCAATAACTAAATTGCCTTTGGCCATAGATGATCGGTTGAACGTCACCTTATATGTTAACTTTTGGTTTAGCTTAGAAAACTAAAATCAGATTCTAAAGCTTAGATCCCATACACATAACCCAAGAAATACACAAATCCCATCGCATTAATACCGACCAAAAAGAAACCAATCACAGTAGCCAACAAAGAATTCGATTTAGGTTCACTGATACAATGTGCAAAAATAGATGACTTGTAGATCGATTAAAGTGCATGAGCCAAAAATAAGAAGATGAAGATAACTCTCGAGCAAAAAAGATAAAGAATAAAATCAGAAATGAATTAATATCAGAGAGTAACCAAACGAGGAACAATGGCCAACTCATGATAACAATCATTGAGAGAAGGCACAATTTGGATTTCAACTAATCGGCCAACGAGAATCTGTCTAGTGCATTCTAACTTAAAGAGTTGCATTCATGTTTTATCCTTGAATTGAAATACAATTATAGACACCGTCTCAATATGAAATTATTGGATATTTGGGTTTTAACTATTCAGCCAATGAGAAGATGTCCGATGGACTCTAACTTAAAGAGTCACATTCACATTTTCCCATATCTGGATTTGGAGATGAGCTGGGATGCTTGCTCTTTGGTGTGCAAATGGTGGCTGATGCTCTAGAGGCTCGGCCACCAATCTATCCATGATGGTGACTCCGCCAATCCTCACGTCTTAAGTGTCCTCCTCGGTTGTCGGTTTATCAATGTGAAGGACATGTTCGTCGACAACTACAAAAGGATGGCGCAAGAGCAGCTACGGGTGCCATGAGCTCTGGACTCGAGTCTTCATCTCATAGCCCTTTTCCTACCTAAGACAAGCACCTCCCAGTTTTACCCTTTTCCAAAGTATAAGGAACCAAAATTAGATTCTAAAGCTTAGATCTCATACATAGAACCCAAGAAATACACAACTCCCATCGCATTAATACCGACCAAAAAGAAACCAATCACAGCAGCCAACAAAGAATTCAATTCAGGTTCACTAATACAATGTACGAAATTAGATGACTTGTAGATCGATTAAAGGGCACGAGCCAAAAATAAGAAGAAGATGAAGATAACTCTCGAGCCAAAAAAAAATAAAGAATAAAATCAGAAATGAATTAATATCGGAGAGTAACCAAACGAGGAACAATGGCCAGCTCATGATAACGGTCATTGAGAGAAAGCACAATTCGAATTTCAACTAATCGACCGACGAGAATATATCTAGTGCACTCTAACTTAAAGTAATGCATTCATGTTTTATCCTTGAAATGAAATACTATTATAGACACCGTCTCAATATGAAATTATTGGATATTTGGGTTTTAACTTTCAGCCAATGAGAAGCTGTCTGATGGACTCTAACTTAAAGAGTTACATTCACATTTTCCGTACCTGGATTCGGAGATGAGCTGGGATGCCTGCTCTTTGGAGTGAAAACGGTGGCCGATGCTCTAGAGGCTCAACCGCCAAATCGATCCATGATGGTGACTCATCCAGTTCCCACGTCTTAAGTGAACTCTTCGGTTGTCAGTTTATCAATGTCAGGGACATGTTCGTAGACGAGCACCTCCCAGTTTTACCCCTTTCCAAACTGTAAGGAACCAAAATCATATTCTAAAGTCTAAATCTCATATACAGAACCCAATATATACGTAACTCCTATCGCATTAATACCGACCAAAAAGAAACCAATCACAGCAGCCAACAAAGAATTCGATTCAGGTTCACTAATACAATGTACGAAAATAGATGACTTGTAGATCGATTAAAGGGCATAAGCCAAAAATAAGAAGAAGATAAAGATAACTCTCGAGCAAAAAAATAAAGAATAAAATCAGAAATGAATTAATATCAGAGAGTAACCAAATGAGGAACAATGACCAACTCATGATAACAGTCATTAAGAGAAAGCACAATTCGAATTTCAACTAATCGA